AAATATGGCAGGGGGGGATGGAGGAGAAAGTAGGGGGTCCTGAATTATTTTTTCATTGAGATGGAGGGTCTTGAAAATTACATTATGTGAAAGGGGGGGGGGGTCTTCGGATTTTTCCCAACAAAAGGATTGTTTCTCGTTATATACTATGAACAGCCAAAAGAGATGCATAAAATGCCCTTTAAACTGGAACACTGGGTATTAACATAACGAGTAAAGCATAAAAAACATAATATAAAAGTGGATGTAGGCGAGACAAGCATAGGCCATAGAGTAACCTACCTAAATAGATTGTAAAATATTTATTTAACTAGTTTCATCAAATTTTATACCTCTTTTAATACTCTTCATTGATCACTTGCTCTCCTAAGTTTGTCCTAATCGGGCCAGCCATCAATACAAAACTATATTTTCAAGCGGTACAAGAGGGGGGGGGGTCTTTAAAAAGTATAAAATGCATAAGGGGGGCCTTGAAAAGGCATATAATTTTTGAGGGGGGTCCCAAAATTTTTTTCAAAATTTCTAGTTTCTCCTCCATCCCCCCCCCCCTTGCCATATTTAATGACCGGTCCCTAACCCACCCTGTCAAGTTTCCCTGTGGGACGAAACACGGAGTACCCGGAGAAAACCCCACGACTTTCGGCAGAGCGTTGACTTTTTACTCTTTTCACATGAGGACTGGGTTTGAGTCACATTGAGATGTTCTCACTGAGATTCGAACCTGCGACCTTAGCTAGAGGTGAAAGGCAAGTATGTTAACCACTTCGGCACCGAAGCCCGAAACGCGACGACGCGATTTTTCGATTTTCACAACTTGTTAGTGCCACAGTGAGACAGTTGTATCAGCACTGTGTATCCAAGTGTTCATTTACTTGATTATTCACCAAAATGTTTCAATGTTCTCTTGTAGTCCCAGAAAGTAAATTTTTTTTTCACCTGGCGATCATACGCAATACGTGTTTATTTTTTACAATCTAACATCTTCAGTTTGCAATTTTTTCTGCCATTATGTAAGATATTTCATTATTGGAAGCAATTCCAATAGAATAGCTAGTTTATTTGCTTAACCCATTGAGTGCAAACGCTCTCTCTTTGATGGTAAAATAGTCTCTGGCATTAGACAAAATAAAATAGTATTAAAGTATATAGTGCAATGCAACCCAATGACATTGGGTTAACACCAGAATTGCAAAATAATCTATCATGCAAATAAAATAATATTATCTGAGATTGTGTTAGAATGTGTCAATGTATTGATTTAATTAAGTTTAGTTTAGTTTATGAGCCAAATCCATTGACGTAATAGCCAGAGTAAACGTTGGACAGGAAGGACGTTTACTACAGTTAATAAATATTAGTGCATGATATAGACTGTGTTGAGAACACATGTTAGAGAGTTAATTTTACGCTCTTGAAGAGGTAACATCAACGACGAAGTCAGATCAAGATAGAAATATTAAGTGTGATATATAATCTATATAATCAAAGTTTGTATAACTATAATAAATAAAGTTTTGGAGCAACTATTGTGTATATGCATTGGTAATCCTAACTGTCAAAAAGTAACCTGTATGGCACGAGGTAACAATTGCAAGCTACAAAAACATACAGTAATAATATGCTAAATTGCTAGAGAGTATGTCTTTTAAATCATCCACAGAGATTCAGTGCTGCATGTGTTAACCCATTGAGTGGCAACTGATTGTAAAAAGGTTTCATAGATGGAAATATCGAGTGTGAATTTTATACATTTAATAATGTCTACATCTATTTAATATACATCAATCTAATAAATGCATGTATTGACAGCATGCCTGTAGAAAGTAGGAAGTTATGGAGCGACACTACCTCCAAATTCTAAAGGGCTTAGACTCCAAACCAAAATATACACTTAAGTAACTTGTGTAATTCAAAACTGAGTTGAAATATGAATTGTGGAGTTACTGTCTAACTCCAAAAATCATTTGAAGCTGGGTATAACTCCAAAAATCATTTAAAGCTAGGTATGACTCCAAAAATCATTTGAAGCTGGGTATAACACCAAAAATCATCTAGGAGCTAGGTATCTAACCTGGAGTTACTGGCTTGGCATCCAAGCTTGGAGTTACTGGCTAACTCAAAAAAAGTGTTTGGAGCTATAGGTATAAGGGCCCACAGTAATTGGTACCATATACTGTTGTGGTGACCCTGCCATGAATGCATGATAATGGCGAAGTTAAATAAATAAATAAATAACTCCTAAAATCATTTAGGAGCTAGGTATCTAAGCTAGGTATAACTCTGAAAAGCATGAAAAAGCTAGGCATCTAAGCCTTGAGTTATGGGCTAACTGCCTAACTCAAATGGTATGTGATGCTAGGTGAGCCAGCCAAGTGCTCTTCCGATCTATGTAAGCCTGAAGTTACTTGCTGTGTTGTTGCCAACTCCAAAAAATGGAGTTAGTTATCTAATGGCACATTTGGCATTTTGTTCTCGTTCAGAGGCGAAATTTTTATCTGCAGCAGTGCAATCCATTCTCGTACCCCTCAACCCTCGTCATGTTCTGTTGACAGTGTGTAAGGGCCTGTTCATATGGGCAGAAGTTATCCCAGGGTATTTGACTGGTACTCCGACAACTCTAGCCGTACTTGACTGGTACTCCGACAACTCTTGTCGCGTACCTGGACTGGTACAAACTTAAGAGTGAAGACGTACCTAAGACTACTTCCGAGTCATGCGTTTTTATACCTACGTATAGTTTACTGGTCCAAAAGCAAAAAATGTATGAGCAATTTAACAATTTTGTACAAATGAATCTTTAATTATGGTATTTGTACAACATAATATAACAGTTTTCAAAGCGTCGACGTTGTGACTCGAATGCCATCGCTCATTTACAGTGGATTTACCGAGGGTGCTAACAGTCTGATCTCAGCCACATACAGTGTAGTTTTCCTCATTGGGCCTAAAAAAACCCTGTGGTTCCGGTTTCATATCGCGAAAAAATTAGGGTAGGTAGGTCGGTAATAAAAAAAAAATTTGAACATTTTTTTCACGGTTTTGGCGGGATTTTGCTGGACGATTTTCGGTAGAGTTCCGACATCATTATTAACTAGAGATGCGTAGTTACTACGGCCCAATTTAGGCAATTTGGTTCAATAATTATTGTGACAACAGACGTCATTTTGGCACGCTGTACGAGCAGCCCGCAACCACCCGGAGAAAATAGGGTCACACGGTCAATCGTGTTGAAAAAAATAATAGGGTGGGCAGAAAAAAATAGGGTCAGTCGGGATACCGAACCACAGGTATTTTATTTTTAGGCCTTGGTATAGCATTGACAATTAAGCCCAGGTCACACCACACAACGATAACGATACGATAATGATACGATAACTTGTAAACACGCGATAATTGGTAAAACATTATGTTGGTGTCCACACTACAACGAAAACGATAAAATTATCGGCGTTTGACGATAACGATTTTAAAATCGCTCACCCGAGCGATTTCCTTTTGGCCTTTTTCATCCCAAAATATGTTGGATGCGTGGAATTTACATGTATAGCTAAAATTATTCACGGTTTTGAATACGTTGGCAGGTTTGCTAGTTATTGCTAGAAGGAAAATGTAAGTACGCGAATAGCAAATTTCCGCGTACCTACGTGGTACTTGCCTAAAAACAAGGAAGTACCAGACCATAAATTTGGCGTACTTCCGGTACGTTGGTACGCGAATTATCGCACCCTGCAGTTATCCCAGTTAACGAGAAAACCTTTTGACTAGCCAAATACTTTTGTTCTGTTCATATGGACTGTAAAAGTTATCCTGCTTACTGGGAAAAATTTCCGGCTGTAACGTAGCACTGAACATCAATTGAATTAAAAAGTCGCTGACACAACAGAAGGATATCCCGCTAAGCGGGCAAGTTCTGTTCATATGGGAAAAACATCCCAGTCACCGAGATCTGGCCTGTCAACAAGCAAGATCTCAGTACACAGGAAAACTTTCGTCTCATATGAACGCAGTGTAACTTTTCATATTATTTTCATACCAAGGCCAGACCTCGCTTGTAAACTTGTCGAAAAGTTTTCTCACTAACCGGGATAAATTTTGCCCATATGAACAGGCCCTATAGCTCTGGGTAATAGAATGTGGCATAGCCTACCTCCACAAAAATAAAATCTACAGGTATGATTAACAGGATTTTGGCCACCACACTCAATATAACTACTTGTTGAAGTGTTTTGTAGTTGGAAACTTCCAGTGTGAATTTTTATACATTTATTAAACCTACAGTAACCAGAAGCAGTTGCCAAAAATGCAACTTATAGACTAAGGTCCTCTGACAGGAATCTGCAATCCTGCGATTCTGTGCAGCACTCCAACCAACTGAGGTACAGAGATCAGTGTCTGTAGTTACAACTGTTCCTGGTCAGGTCTAATAAATATAGAGAATAATACATGGCTGCACGAAATACCAGATTTATTT